AAGACCAAGACATTTCAGACATGTCTACTACATACCTAGAACTGGTTCTGTGACATTCAACAGAGAAATGCAGCCAGGAGGAGTAAATTCCGTCTGTCCTAAATCACATTCCAAATAGTCAACACAGGGAATACTAAAAAGTGAAAAAAGAAAAGAAAATCTTAAACTAGCCACACGCTATAGAAGACAAGGTGGATCTTAGCGATTTCATGCGATGCAGACTTAATTTAGCAACTCCTGGGCATTCCAGGTGTAACGTCCCACGATGACCCTCCTGTTTTCTTCCCTTTGCAGACTGCTCAGCACAAAGGTGGCGGGAAATGGGGAGGCAGGCACTATAACCAGTGTGTATTCACAAACTGGGTACAACTTTCTCTTTCTGAAAACTTCGCCTTTAAAGGATGGTGCGTTTGATCCCTACTTGGAAGCTCAGGATTGAGAAACATCATCTGGACCAAACCAAAACCAAACTCACTGCCACCGAGTCCGTGCTGACTCACAGCGACCCTGCAGGGCAGGGCAGAACTGCCCCGGGGCTTTCCAAGACTGTCGCTCTTTATGGCAGTAGAAAGCCTCATCTTTCTCCCATGGAGCAGCTGGTGGTTTCACACTGCTGACCTAGCAGTTAGCAGCCCAAAGCTTAACCGTGCCACCAGGGCTTCTCTGTCATCAGGGCAGAGGCCGAAATCCCGTGTCTTCTCTTGCCAGTTCAACTACAAACAAGGCCAGGCCAGAGCATCCTAAGTGTGCTTCATCACCTAGCTCTCCAACGCCCTGACACAAAGCCTCATCATGCGGCCGAGCAGCTGCATGCAGCAGTTGCATATAATTTCTATTTAGCAGTCAACACGCATCCTTCACTTTTAAAATTAAGAATAAATAAATGAATCGCCTTGGGGCAATATAAGCAATCTTACCAATTTAACAACTGGTTTATGAGGTATCTATTGAATGTTGACTTCCCAATATCTTGGGTTCCACACACCAGAATAACAGGACAGCCATCTGATTCCTCTGTGGGGCGAGAGACACATGGACACCTAGGATTAGCCATTTTCTCTAGGGCCCCAGCCCTTGAAGCTTTGCTGAATGAACACCCGCACTTAGCAGACAGAGACCTTACTCACCGCAAACAGCACTGACCAACGCGTTCACTGCGGAGAAGGCACTCTCCGTTAACTGATGCCCGTTTTTCCTCTTGTTTCTCCTGATGCCAACAGCCTTTAAGGTTTTGTACTCACAGGTGGAGCGCTGGGTCGTCTCAGTCTGTAATTTACAAGTGAAGCTTTAAGAATAGGTGAGAGGGGTGATATACATTTGCACTGCGTTTTAAAAGACTATGCCTCAGACAGTTGAGAGTTAGAAAAGATGGATGTGATCCCTCTCCGGACCTCACTGTCCCACCCCCGATGATCCCAAATGCAGACAATCGGCAAGTCCTGTCAATTCCAATCATGAATCGGGCCGTGTCACTTGCTTTTCATAGCTCAGCCCTCACTTCCAAGGCACTGCAGGGGCTCCGGAAGAAAAACTAGTGGGAATTTTCAATGACTGTCACGGAAAAAAACAACACACGGTTCAGGAGCAGAAGGGTCACAGACTGACTGGGTTGGCGATCTGGGATCAGGCCTTCCTTCTACCCGTGACAGCCGAACGCAGCTCCGTGTCGGTCTCCTTTTAAGACTTGCTTTGGCCTCCGGAGTCTTCTTCCCAGTGTCTGCTCCCTGTCAGTGTCCCAGGGAGCTTAGACCCGAGCCAGCACCTTTGGTGCTGATCCTCCCATTGTCTGGCCTTGGTCACCCCCACTGTAAACCCAGATTTCTATGTCCAACCTTCCTCCCCGTACTCCAGACCGACACATCCCACTGCCCGGCTGACAACAGGCATCACGAAGCTCACCCTCCCAAACATGCTCCTCTCATCACAGCTAACAGCACTTCAAGGCACCTGGTTGCTTCGGCCCAAGAGCCGGGCTTTGCTCCTCCACTTTTCCTCACATGCACAGTTTCCCGCTAGTTCAATGCCGGGTAAAACTGTACAGATCTACCCCAGATACACTGAATCAGAATCTACAATGTAACAAGTTTTGGAGTTGGTGTATCTGGGCAGATATGCAAAATCTCTGTGCGTGTTTGACACACAGGCAAGGCAGGAACCAGAATAAACCGGTTTGATGTCCTTCTCACACCTTACCTTCAATCTGCCCCGAATCTGGGAACACGGCCTAGGCTGAGAGCACTGCCGGCCATCTTCTTGTTGAGACCACCATCCCCCACGTCTGGACTTTCTGATGGGCTTCAGGTTCTGCCCTTGCTCTGTCCCAGTATACTCTCAGCACAGCAACCAGAGGAACTCATGCCTCTGCAGACACTTCCCCGCAGCTTCTCACACACAGTGAGCCAGTCCTGGTGTGATCAGTCACTGGCCTAACTCCCACAGCCTAAGTACCTGCTCCTCTCCTCTACCTCCTCCTCAGTGAGGTCTCTGACCACCCAACTTGCAAAAAAAACCCCGAAAAACCCAGCCCACCCATCCCCACCCACCCCCTCGCTCTGATGCTTTTCTTCAGAGCACTTGGTATCCAACACTGCTCTAATACTGACCTGATGTGTACCAAGGGAGCGCTGCTGGGTCTCGCGCCACCCTGAGAACCACTGCCAGACACCTACCACAGAGCAAATGGACTCACCTACTTCGTCAGCTGTACCTCCCCAGCCAGAATGTACACTCTTACGTAACAGTGTACCTGACGCATCAGGTATCCCTGGTACCTGGTGAAGGACAGGCACTCCATCTGCTTTTTATGTATACTGATTTCTAAGTTTTAGATTCAACATATTGGTTCTTGGAAGACTCGTGCAGTAATAGAACTTCACCTTGGAAAATTACTAACATCACCAAAAAAGGTGTGGAGGTGACTAAGACGGGAGCAAGTCTAAGTACCGCTACACTATCCAGTCATATTTTGGAGCCAAGTGATGCTGTTTCAAGCTAATCAAGAAATAAAGGTTTAATTAAGTATCCAGTTTGAGTTCATAAACATAACCACTGAAAAACCAAAAGGTAGTGGCTGTCACAGCGAATGAAATTCCTGATGGTCCCTATCTTTCTATACTGAATGTTCTTTTATTATATATATATGAGTTAATTGCTAACTGTATATATATAATGTAATACACACACACACACACACATATATAGTATAATCTACCTAGATGTATTTATTACATTCTAACCTATGCAGACATAGCTTTCCAGCTATGTGCATGTATCACTTTCTAACTATGCACGCATTCCTTTCTAACTATATGCATATATGGGAGAAATACATGCATACATTTATATATGCATATATTCTTCCTAACTGTATGCATATACAGAGGCCTGGTGGCACAGTGGTTAGTTGAGATGCTAACTGCAAGGTCAGCAGTTCCAAACCACAAACTGCTCCACAAGAGAAGATGAGGCTTTCTACTCCTATAAAGAGCTACAGTCTCAGACACTCAGAGTCAATTCTATACTGTCCTACAGGGTCGCTAAGAGTCAACATCAATGCATTAGCAGTGAGTTTGGTTTTTGGTTTGGTAAATGCATATATTGCTTCCTGACTGTATTCATGGACTGCCTCCTACATGTAGGCGTTTACGACACTCTGCAGGACCTACAGCACGAGTGTGATGCGCAAACTGCTCTTCCAGGAGCACATCATCCAAATGCCATCGGAAGATCGGTTAGGTGTGGGTAACTGACAACACTGTGGGTGAAAGCTGGCTGTACCTCTTGTAAGAAGAGGCAGGATAAACCTGGATGGCTGATTATGAACTCCATCGCTGGGGTTTTCAGACGTTGTAACAACACAATGGAACACAGAGGAGAGAAGCACCTCATCAGTCGGCATCTGTTATCTGTGAACACAAATAGAAACTACCTAATACACGGGCACTCAGCTAGATTCTCTGCCCTGCACTACCACCACCACCTCGGGAAAACCGTAAACTCAATGAAAGCAGGAATTTAGTTTGAGAGCCTCTTTTAAGAAGTCAACTTGCCATTCAGGAACACACGTGGGTGGGAGAAGGCCACCTGGGTTTGCCACTTGCTAATTTTGTGACCTTGGGCAATTTTTCTCATCAATTAAAAAAAGTGAGAAAAAATTTAAAAGCAGCAGTTTCATTTTAAGACCCGTAGTGAGGGTTTAAAGCAGAGCATTTAAAAATGCCTAAGGGAAGCGCTAGAACTGATTGTGACGATGTATATACGCTACTCTTGTAGCTCTTTTATACTCCCCCCCCAACTACTCTGTTTAAAGGGGACTTTAACAAGGGGGAACCAATCACAATGATCAACATATAACCACCACCACCACCCACCCCACCCCAGGGAGAGGAACAACAGAAACCCTAAGGGAAGGGAGACTGCAGTTGATGTGAGATATGAAAACAATGATAATTTATAATCTATCAAGGAGTCACAAGGAGGGGAGGGAGAGGAAAAAGGAGCTGATACCAAGGACTCAAACAGAAAGTAAATGTTTAGAAACTAATGATGGCACCAGATGTACAAATACGTTTGATACAATTGGTGGAGGGAGGGTGGGGTGGAAAGGGGGGACTGATTACAAGGATCTACATGTGACCTCCTCCCTGGGGGACGGACAACAGAAAAGTGGGTGAAGGGAGATGTCGGGACAGAGCAAGATATGACAAAATAACAATTTATAACTTATCAAGGGTTCATGAGGGAGGGGGGATCAGGGAGGGAGGGGAAAAAATGAGGAGCTGATGCCAGGGGCTTAGGTGGAGAGCAAATGTTTTGAGAATGATGAAGGCAATGAATGTACAAATGTGCTTTACACAATTGATGTGTGTATGGATTGTGATAAAAGCTGTATAGCCCCTAATAAAACGATTAAAAAAAACAAAACACATAGATGAACACCACCACCACCACCACAACAAAAAAAAGTTGTTAGCGAGGAGGGTGGAGTGAGAGTGGGGTGGAAAGGGGAAACCGATTACAGATATAACCTTATATATAACAAAATAATAATTTATAAATTATCAAGGGTTCATGAGGGAGGGGGAAGCGGGAAGGGAGGGGATAAAAATGAGGAGCTGATGCCAGGGGCTTAAGTGGAGAGCAAATGTTTTGAGAATGATGCACCAAGTGTACAAATGTGCTTTACACATGGATGTATGCATGGATTGTGATAAGAGTTGTATGAGCCTCCAATAAAATGATTTTTTTAAAAAGTTGTTAGAGCGCCAGTAAAATGATTTAAATAAATAAATAAATGTGACTTAACAGTAGAAGTATATGACATGTGAATTTTATAGTAAGGAAACTGAGAAAGAAATCAGTGGCAACTGTAGGTGAAGGAGTTGTCGTTGCTTAGGGGGTATTGAGGTGTATAAGTTATGGCGACGGACTAATTTGAAAAAGGCTATCAATAAGGGCTACATACTAGTCTATACACAATGGTACACTTAAATACACATGCAGGAGGTGTTGAAATGGAGAATGTTTTGCTGTGCACATTTTTGCCACTGTGAAAAATAATTATATTAATGAGTGCAAGAACATGTGCTAAACTTGATTGTGGCAATGACTGCACCACTCCTCTCGATATGACTGAACGACTGAATTGTAAGGTATGTGAAAGAAGTGCCAATCAAGCTGCAAAAGAAGGAATATGTAAACCTACAGATATCGTGAATAGCATGTGTGACGTGACGTCATATGTAATGTCATGTAATAGACATGTATCTCTTTAAAGGATTAGCCATATTAGACTCTCAATAAACATATCCTTTGGATTACCCAGGGTAAGATGCGCTCTGAGCACAGCTCGGACTTCCCTTTTCATCTCCTTCCTGCTCTTCTCAGGCACGGGATATGGAACAGCTGTGATGCTCAGGAGACAGTTGGTATAAGCAGAGAAGGCCTCGCAGGCAGGCTGGCCTGGGCTGAGGGTAAAGCCAAACACTTGTACCCGGCCATAGAGGCAAGTCACACGACAGATGCCGCTGAAAAAAAAAGACTGGGGGAAAAGAGAGAGAAAGCAAGAAACGATGTTACTAAACATCTTATCAGCAAACTGGCAAATTCCAAAATCTTAGCTCACTACTCACGTACCAAAAATAAGTAATAAACTCACTGCCATAGAGTCAATTTCAACTCATAGCGACCCTTATAGGTCAGGGTTTCTGGGACTGTATCTCTTCACAAGAGTAGAAAGCTTCAGGGGCTCAATGTCAAGGAGTTCAAGAAGAAAGAGATCTTTTGAAACTGAGCGTGTACAATACTGTTTGATGTGATTGAACTGTGGAATATGTTATCTGTGTTAGCTCCCAATAAAATGGTCTTGAAAGTGGGGGCAGGGAGGAGGGGAAAAAAACGAGGAGCTGATACCAAGGGCTCAAGTAGAATGAAAATGTTTTGAGGATGATGATGGCAACAAATGCACAAATGTACTTGACACGATGGATGGATGGATGGATGGATGGATGGATGGATGGATGGATGGATAGATGGATGGATGGTGATAAGAGTTGTACGAGCCCCGCAAAAAGTCAATAAAAAAAAAATGGTCTTGGAAACAAAAAAAAGAGTAGAAAGCCTCATCTCTCTTGGAAAGCTGATGTTTTCAAACTGCTAATTTGGTTAGTGACCCAAAACGTAACCCACTACGCCACCAGGGCTCCAGATATATATATATATATATATATATGTATATAGCTATAAAAACTCACTGTCATTGAGTGGATAGGTGAGAATGGACCGCACTGTACTAGGTGGGCAGCAGGCCTTTAGTATTTATGACCTAAGAAAGACCCTAGTGAACCTAGACTACATGAAGACAAGGTCTCCCCGTGACGGATCTCTCCGTCCTCCAACACTGGAAGGGCCTGCATCAGGCTGCTTGGGTCTGAATCTCGGCCTTCTGTCTTACTGTACAACTTTGACAGGTCACCTAGTCTATGCCTCAGTCTCTTTGTCTGAAAACAAGCACACTCATAGAAATTACTCCTTGGTGGTGAGTTAGGGCCATTAAATGACAGAAAAGACCCTGCTATCTCTAAAAACAAAAACAAAAAACTCACTGCCATGGAGTGGAGGATGTCCACTCACAGTGGCCCTATAGGACAAGGTAGAACCGCCCCCTGGGAGTTTCTGAGACTTCAGGGACTTCTGCCCTGTCTGCTATGGGGATGAATAAAGGACCCCATGAAACAAGTGATGGACCAAGGACTTTGTGAGCACTGGCTTGGTAAACACCTTCACCTTGAAGCCAGGCCCCAGTAAAAGTCTGGCACAGGACTGTACTTGAAGGTAATTCTGGGCCACGCTGACCCCAAGCAGGAGCCCTGATAAAACAGAAAACGATGCAGAGACCAAGGGTGAATGGAGTAACTACTAATTAGAAAGTTCCTTGACCTTCTGGAGAGCGTAAGCCCCTCCCCTCTGAAAGTGCCATATAAAAGCTAGCAGCTTCCCCTAGACAACAGCCTCATCTCACCTCGAGAGAAGGGGCACCCTCCCCTTCATTTCTTTTGAAGTGACACTAATAAACTTAATAAACTTGTGGCTTAACTCTGCTGCTGCTTGTATGTGTGTGAGCAGTGGGGCTTATCTCTAGACCCTTTCGGGGTTTTCTAGTTTCCCCCTTGGGCCAAACTTCACAGTAACTGTTTATAGCAGTAGAAAGCTCCATCTTTCTCCCAAAGAACGTGAAAGGTTGGAGACAGAAGGTGCAGAAGGAGACAAGGCTCAGTCAGGAATGAGAAGTATAGTGAAGCTTTATGAAGGCCAGGGAAAGCTCCTGGACGAGTTTCGCAACCCAACGAGTTAGGTCAGGGAATCACGCCTGGCAGTGAGCGGAGGACGTGTGTACTGATGAGGGGAAGGGGGGGCCTTCTGGGGCTGCAGTGGCACGGGCTGTGTCAGGATGTGGTCTGTGAGTAAATCCTCCCGGACACTGAGGCAAGGGGCTGTACAGACCCGGCCTGGAGAGATAAGCTCCTTGGATGCTGGAGGCAGGGACTGCACAGTCCAGCTCTGGCCTTGAGGGGCGGGGGAAGGGGCCGCACAGTCCAGCAGGCCATCTTTCGGGAGATGGGGGGGCGGGGAGAGCGGCTGCATGGTCCGGACCCGGCCCAAACAGAACGGCTGGTAGTTTTGAACTGCTGACCAAGCACCCAGTAAATGCTACCTGTTGCTATCACTCCCACGGCCATCCCTACTAGGATACTGCAGTCCCTTTCAGCTCTGAGGTCTAGGGTCCCCTTAGCAGAAGTCTGCGTCACCCTGCTGAGCAGCACCACCTCCAAGAGAATGGACTCGACTTGCAGGTGACCATGCAAGAGCTAGAGCTCCACCTAGAGCTCCCCGGGACTGCGTCTCCATCCCACCTCTGCCCGCCAGGGGCTCCCAGAACGCGACTTACCTGCTCCAGCGGCAGCAGCAACACCGCGCGGCCGCGGCCGGCGGGCAACGGGGTAGGGATTTGGGTCAAGAAGGGAACCACCGGGGTGGGGGCGGGGTCAGGGGTCGCGGCAGGGACGGAGCGGAGAGCCGCGGCTTTGAGTCGCCGGGATACAACCTCCTCTGCCGCCGGCGCCGCCGCGCCAGATGCCAGGCAGCCGCTCTCCCGCAAGTCCACGCCTGCTGCCTGGGCCTGCAGTAGCCGTCGTCGTAGCCGCCGCCGGCCGCACCAGCTCAGGGACCCAGGCCAGCAGCGTAGTCGACGGCTGAAAATGAGCTGGGGCCAGGCCTTGCGCGCCCGCGACCGTACGAAGCGGCCAGGAGCCCGCCTGACCTGCAGCAGCGAGTCTGCCATGCTGGCCACAGGCGCCTGCCACGCGCTTTCTCGCGAGATCCCTTCGCTCCGCCCCGCGGCCCCGGGAATCGCGGGAAGAAGCGGCCGGGGTCCTCTGGTGCCCTCTTCTGGCCGTACCTGGTAAACCCCGGAAGCGAACTTGGGGCTCGGCCGGCCCTGCGGAGACTGCAGGACCCAGGGAATGCTCTAGGGGGCGGCCGCCTCTGCGACGCACGCCTCGCCGTTCGCGGCGGGCCCCATTTACATTATGCAAAAGCCCACCTTAGCCTCCTGGAGAGGAACAGCCGAGAAAGCTCGGGTCCAGCTGAGGGGCCCACCTCTCCGGAAATCCATCTGCGGGCGACTTTCTGCAGCCAGTTCATGCAGAAACGACAAAGGCCGGCATTTAAACAAAACCGGGACGTTTGCATGCCCGTTGTTTGCATGCATTTGTCTTTGAGCTGCCGAGAGAAACTGCGCCTTCTAGGTAACCCGAGGGAACTAGGAGGCGGGGCGGACTGTCACTATCTAGTAACATCTCAGTCCATAAACAGAGCCGCCCTGCTGAAAAGGGCCTAGAACAGCGGTTCTCAACCTGTGGGTCGCGGCCCCTTTGGGGGGTCGAACGACCCTTTCACAAGGGTCGCCCGATTCATAACAGGAGCAAAATGACAGTGATGAAGTAGCAACAAAAGTAATTTTATGGTTGGAGCGTCACCACCACATGAGGAATTGTATTAAAGGGTGGAGACATCAGGAAGGTTAAGAACCGCTGTTCCAGAGCCTGCAGCTCCCTGACAGCCTGTGGCAGTGAAAGAGGGGACACAGATCAAGGGCTAAACCGGAACCCCCGGGGAGGAAGGCCTGGGCTGCCGCCTGGTTTGCATCATGCCTTTGTTCTGCTCTGGTCCACAGGGACCGCAGGCCCGGAAGGCCAAGGCAAACACCCTTCTCTACACCAGGCCCGAGTCCCACCCTTTTTCACAGAGCATGAGGTTGCTATGCGCCCAGGCAGCTCCCCCCACATTCTATTTAAACAGCCCTGACGAGCTGCCCGAAGCCAAAGTGCAGGCCTTCATCCAGCATGCTCCCCCGGGCCGCTCACCTGCTTGGCCTGCAGCTGTCCCTGGCTTGCGGCTGCTGGACTTCAGGCTGTCAGGAGATGAAATCTTCTCCTGACTTCAGCCTCCTGGGAGATTACTTTCTATCGGGCTTGTTCCCTCTCCATGATAACTGTCCAGAGATAAGACGCAAACCTGAGGTGACCTTATGTGACAGGTAAGTGAGGAGTCAGCAGAGCCATCACCTAGCTGGGTCGGGCGGGTGAGGGTGGGTTTGACATTCCCTCTTCAGAGAGAAGCTTTGCCTGATCCAATCCCTCACCTGAACGGCCCCCAATTCCTCCACCCATCGGTAGCAGCCACCTTCAAGTATAGGCTAGGCCTTCCAGGTCCCACTTTGAGGCCAGTTATTTTACCCTTGTTCTTTTCTGACTTGGTGACAGCAGTAAAGGGTGAGGATCAAGCAGGGGTGTCCCTTCTCATTTCCCACCTCCTCCTTACTCCTCCCAAAGTTCCAGACTCGGTGGTCTCCCTTAAGGTGCGTGGGATGCTTCGCAGAGAGGGAAGGGGAGCACAAAACAATAGATGCTGCGGGGGTCGGCAGAAACAAATGAGATGGTGCAAGCTGACAGTCTAGCTGGAGAGAAACAACCGCTCTTCTTCAAAAGCAGACCGTTGCTGGTGGTCCGTGCAGGCTCACACGTCGTGCCCCCAGTAGGAAGCAAACAGCTAGTGGCTGGCCCAGGATGGAGGGTGAGGGCAGCCCAGCTATGGGGAGAGAAGACTAGGCTGAGAAGAGAGGCTGCGTGGTGGGCTAAGTGGCAGGAGAGAGAAGAGGGGGGCATGGAGACTGGCATCAGATGACAAGAGCTGGGGGCACAGTTTTGATTTCCTCCGAGTGCCTCAAAGGACGCACGTGATAGAAATGATGGAAACTTCTAATGAGGAGTGTCTGGAACACGGGATGATGGAGTCCAGTCTCCGAACAAGGCCAAAACACATCCCCAGCAAGTCCCTACTGGGTTTCCCCAGACTGCAGTTCCTAATGTGGCCCCTGAGTCCACATTCCTGAGTACAGGGTGAGAAGCACCAGGTACACACACTTGGGCTCTGCTGTGGACTCCCAAGCTTTTCGGTGCTGATATTTATCCCAAAGGGGCTAGGGTTGCCCCATCTCCCGACACTTCCAGGAATTGTGTGCCCCAGGGCCCAAGCTGAGGCCACAGCTACAGGGGACCAAACAGGTGACCTGAAGATTCCTCTCCACCTGCCTCTCCTGTTGCCATGGGATCAGGTTCAGCTCCCAGCAACCCCAGGTGCTCAGGGTAGAAGGCCCCGTGGAGTTCTCTGTGGCTAAGCCCCTTCAGAAGCAGATCACCAAGCACGTCTCTTCCAAAGCCCTTCTGGGTGCGTTCAAACTGTCAGCCTTCCAGTTAGTCATCAAATGCTTGAGTCTTTGAACTCTTCCTCTCTCCCCACAAAGCCTGGGATTCTAGGAGGGCAGGGGATGCAAACAGCCTGCTCAACCGCTAACCAAAAGGTTGGAGGCTCAAGTCCTACCAAAAGTGCCTAGGAAGAAAGGTGTGGTGACCTCCTTGCAAAACATCAGCCATTGAAAACCCTATGGAGCATATATTTTTTTCTCGGACACAAATGGGGTCACCATGAACCAACTCGAAGGCAACTAGTTTGTAGACTTAGCCAAATGGGAAATTGCCAAGTGGTGGTAACATGATGTAGTCCCTGGGGGTGGAAGGGGTTAGGTAGACTCAGGTGGAGTCCACCCAGAGAAGCCTTGAAATCAAGGCAGCTTGCTTCTGAAAGATCTCCTCTGGGTAACTCCAGGGAGCCCAGTTCTCCTGGGACACACAGAGTTGCTGTGAGCCGGAGAGAAGTGGCTAGCCCCTGGTTTGGGCGAGGGTGGCAGCAGGGCCTGGCCTTCTTGGGTCTCTGCTCTGCTTTCCTACAGGCCCAACAGCTTCAACGGCCATGGCTACCACCTCTTCCAGGCCATGCGGCTTGCCGTAGAGGAGATAAACAACTCCACGTCCCTGCTGCCTAACGTCACCCTAGGCTATGAGCTCTATGACGTGTGCTCCGAGTCCTCCAATGTGTACGCCACCCTGCGTATCCTCACCCTGCGGGGGACACAACACATAACGCTCCAAGGAAACCTGCCCCAGTACTCCCCCAAGGCAGTGGCCATGATCGGGCCGGACACCACGAACCACGCTGCGACCGCCGCGGCCCTGCTGGGCCCCTTCCTGGTGCCCCTGGTAAGCTAGAATCTTAGCTGTCTCCCCTGCTGGTCTGGAAGTCCAGCATGGTCAGGTGGTTGGGCAGGAGCTGCTGTGCTGCTGAGAGCCCAGCCTGGCGTATGGCTCAGCTGGCACAGGTGCCCGCCCACAGTAACCACTGCCCCACCATGCTTCCTTCCCAGGGAATGCTTCCAGACTCCCTGCCTCCATGCTCACGGAGAAACCCATTCTCCTTCTAACAGACTGCATTCGGCCACTCGCCTTCTGCCCTTTCCTCTGCTCCCAGCTATTCGAGCACCTTCCTTAAGAACTGAGCATCCAAAAAAAAAAAAAAAAAAAGAACTGAGCATCCTTCCCTTCCCTCCCCATAAACACCCCACCCACTTCCTGTCTGCCTTCTTCCCTCCTGCTGAAAGATGGTGGCAACCCTCACTTAGGCTCAGTTGTCCTCTCTCCTCCAGCTTGGCAACGTCTCCCTAAGTCTCTTCCTTATCTTTGACCTTGTCCAAAGCCTTCTTTGTCCCCTAAACTCTTCCAGACCCTTCTACAGTCGGCATGGTTCACACCATCTCCCTCTCGCCCCTTCCCGTTGCAACATCTCAGCAGAATTCTCTATGCTTGCCCCCAAGAAACCAAACTCCCTGCCATCAGTCGATGCTCTCCTTGCAGCACTGGCCTCTGCTCTGCGTGCTGGCTCCCTCACAGTGCCCCTCCCTGCCATCCGGAAGGCCCGCTAATCCCCAAATCCAAGGAGCACTGGCTTTTCGGTCTTTCTCGATCTTATGGGATCTTCTTTGTGGCATTTGGTCTATCAGCCCTTCCAGGAAGCTCCCGCCTGGCCATTTGTGACCCTCTTGTCCCCCACCCTGTGTGCTCTCTCGGTCTCCTAGCGAGAGCTCTGGGCCCCTGGGCTCCTCTTTCCTCTCCCAGTCCAGCGTTGGCTATGGGCTCATGCCTTCATCTCCGACTCCTGAGTCCCCGAACCTCCCCTCCAGATGTTCAGCAGACATCCTCACGTCTTGGACCCAGTGGGCCCCACATGGGTGTCACCTCCCATCACAACCACACCTGCACCCTTCCCAAAGGACCTTCTCCACCCTGATCAGAAACCCAGAAGTCCCATCAAGCGTCCCCCTGCCCCTGCTCCCCTGGCTTAGTCAGCTACCAAGGCCACACCTTCCATCTCCTAAACTCTGCCAAGGCCAAGCCCCCTCCCCCCTTGCCCCAGCCACAGCCTCAATTCAGACCACTACCCAATCTCACCTCGCTGATGCTAATAGTTGCCTGTGGGTCCCCTGACTCCAGTCTTCTCCACGTGCGCCTCACCTACTCCAGAGCTACCTCCACGTGCGCCTCACCTACACCAGAGCTACCTCCACGTGCACCTCATCTACACCAGAGCTACCTCCATGTGCACCTCACCTACACCAGAACTACGCAGCTAGAACAAGAGCTTATCCGCACACACCCTTAGAGGCTCCCCATGGCCCACAGCAAAAAGCCCAAGCCCCTTAGGCCTGGCATGGAGGCCTCCCCAACAGGGCAGTGCCAACTGTTATGGTTGTTTCACAAGCTTTATTGTAAATGAAGTGGGGATTTATATTTCAGACCTTCAACTGACTATTCAACAGTTTAGACTGCTCCCCCACAGCCCCCCACCCAATAGCTGAGCCCTTCACCCCCACTTTCATTGCTCTTCTCTCTCTTGTGAATTACTTTCTCCCACTTTACCCAAGTTAACTCCCTTCACCCGCTCTGTTGTCTGTACATAATCTGTCACTCCAAAATACCATGGGCAGTTCCCCTTGAGGACCAGGGCAGGGACCACAGTTCTGTCCCCTGGAGCCCTCACTGAGGTTGGTCCCCATGGCCTGGCTGCACTGACCTCCCCTCCCGGCGGCAGATCAGCTACGGGGCCAGCAGCGCGATGCTCAGCGCCAAGCGGCAGTTCCCCTCCTTGCTGCGTACAATCCCCAGCGACGAGAACCAGGTGGAGACCATGGTGCTGCTGCTGCAGAGCTTCGGCTGGGTCTGGATCTCGGTGGTGGGCAGCGACGGCGACTACGGGCAGCTGGGGGTGGAGGCGCTGGAGGAGCAGGCCACCCAGCAGGGCCTCTGCGTCGCCTTCAAGGGCATCGTGCCGTTCACGGCACAGGCAGGCGACGAGCAGATGGAGGCCATGATGCTGGCCCTGGCGAGGACCACTGTGGTGGTGGTTTTCGCCAGCCGGCGGCTGGCCCGGGTGTTCTTCCAGTCCGTGGTGCTGGCCCAGCTGACCGACAAGGTGTGGGTGGCCTCGGAGGACTGGGCCATCTCGAGTCACATTGCCGGGCTGCCGGGCATCCAGGCCATTGGCACCGTGGTGGGCGTGGCCATCCGGCAGAGAACGGTTTGGGGCCTGCAGGCATTTGAGGAGGCCTACGCCAAGACAGACAAGAGGGTGTCTGGGCCATGCCCGCAGGGCTCTGGGTGCAGCAGCAACCAGCTCTGTCACAAGTGCTGGGCTTTCACAGAGGACAAGATGCCCAAGCTGGCCGCCTTCTCCATGAGTTCCGCCTACAACGTCTACCGGGCTGTGTACGCCGTGGCCCAGGGTCTCCACCGGCTGCTGGGCTGCCCCTCGGGAGCCTGTGCCACGGGCGCTGTCTACCCATGGCAGGTAAGACAGCCCAGCCCCAGGCAGCCAGCGTCCCCGGCACAGAGACAAGCAGTGTGGCCACTCTCGCTGCCCGAGGGCAGGCACTGGGAGCAGGGAAGTGGGGTATGATAGCCTGGCTTGAGGGCTGGTCCCTTCTCATCGCTGAACTGTGCCCTCCTGCCACCCCTGGGCTTCCTCCAGAACAAGCCCCAGGGCTGCCAGGAAAGACCTCCTTTAGGAGAGATCTCCTCGTCGTCGGAAGCCGGTTGGTGCCTAAGGACCAGCCAGACTTCCAGGCAGGCTGACAACCCCCAAGATGGTAGCCCATGAAGACCCCCGCCAGGGAGGAGCCAGACAGGCCGAGGAGGGGCAGCCTGCGCCCTCGGTGGTAACTTCCTGGTCCCCCTGTGTTTCAGCTGCTGGAACAGATCCAGAGGGACACGCTGCTCTTTAACGACAACGGGGACCCTCTCAGTGGCTATGACATAATTGCCTGGGACTGGAGTGGCCCCGAGTGGACCTTCCGGGTCATTGGCGCATCCACGTGGCCTCCAGTCCAGCTGGACATCAATAAGACCCAAATCCAGTGGCCTGGAGGGAAAGGCCAGGTAGTGCTGACACTCTTCACAGAGCAGAAGGGGGACCTCAGGTGCTAGGCCCCCTTGTTCTCCCCAGTCCGGCCTGGGAGGCTCCAAGGGCTAAAGGACCGATGTCTGGGAGGCTTTGGCTCACACCGCTGGGAGTGGGTGCCGGGCAGGCACCCAGATTCTGTCCCTCTCCATTCACATGGGAACTGCCCCTTGACTCGGGCCCCTCCACTTGCCTTCCAAACCCCTGGGCCTCTTTGCAGGTGCCCAAATCCGAATGCAGCGAAGACTGTTTGGAAGGGCACCGGCGCGTGGTCATGGGTGCCCACCACTGTTGCTTCAGGTGTGTGCCCTGTGAGGCTGGGACCTTCCTCAATGAGAGTGGTGAGTGGGCATGTGAGTGGGCAGCTGACCCTGCTCCTGGGGTCTGTAGACAAGAGACCCTGCCTTGGGCTCCTTGCCCCCCTGGCCCAAGGGCCCAGGCTCCAGACACCCTACTTGGTTGGCTAGGTACAGGGTGAAGGATTCTTGCTGGCAGTCTGAATTCTGACTGAGCAGGAAGAACCATACAGCAAAAAAAGTCTCAGGTCTGTCTTTCTTTAAAGGCTTCCCATGATACCCCCTCCAGGTGCACACTCATTTTAACTGCAACCTCCGATCCAAACAGATTCAGCTATCTCTCCCTTTTGCCCTCCTGTCTGGATAGTTACCTCTATTGTCCTTGCCAATGATAGCCAGCACCTGGAGTGCAGACACTAGCATGCCTGCAGTCACAAAAGCGGCCTGTCCCACCCCCTCACCTCCCACAATGCAAGGTTCAGGTCATAGAGCAAAGGCAGTAGTTAAAGTTATGATTGCCTCCCTCAGGGATGGACTCCAGAGGCCACCCCTTTTGCTTTGGATATTTCTGCTGGGGTGGGGATTTCCTCTCTCTTCTGTCTTTAGGAGGAGCCCTAGTGGCATGGTGGGCTAACCTTTAGGCGGCTAACCACAAGGTCAGTGGTTCAAACCCCCCAGCTGCTCCTTGTGGGAGATGAGGTGAGACTGTCTGCTCTGTAAAGATGTAAAGTCACAGAAACCTTAAGGCACAGTTCCACTTTGTCCTAAAGGTTTCTATGAGTCGGAATCAATTCCGTGGCATTGGGTTTGCTCTTGTTGGGTGGTGGCACGGCATTGGGCTGCTAGCCTCCAGGTCAGCAGTTCAAAACCACCAACTGCTCCATGGGAGAAAGATGAGACTTTCTACTTCCAGAAAGAGTTACAGTCTCAGAAACTCACAGGAGCAGTTTTCCTCTGTCCTATAGGGCCGCCATGATTTAGAATCAACTCCTTGGCTGTGGGTTGGGTCTTTGTGGTTCTCTGTCCTCAGGGTCAGAGAACCCATGAAGCAGCAGCTCTGGTCAGTGGTGGACATGCTTGGGACAAAGATGAGAGCGTGCTGCCTTCAGGGCTGCTGCTAGCACCTGACCAAGGCCTCCTAGCACGAGGGCAGTGCTACCAGGCTAAGACCCTCCGTAGGAACCTCTTGGTTTAGAAATCTCTTCTGGGGCCTCTAGGGAGGGCCTATCTGTGTAACCTGCTTAGACTCAGGGTCCCATCAGGGTTATCCTATCCACACCCCAATCCCTGCTCAGTGGGCCCGACAGGGCCTGCCTTCTTTCCCCGCTGGCCTCACCTGGCCCTCAGGAGCCTTCTCCACCTTTTCTTTCAGACTTCTACCGCTGCCAGCCATGTAGGAGAGAAGAATGGGCGCCCCAGGGAAGCTCAACTTGCCTCCCCCGCACCCTGGTGGTTTTCACCTGGCGCGACCCCATCTCTTGGGTGCTGTTGGCAGCTAATACCCTGCTGCTACTGCTGCTGGCTGGGACTGCCGGCCTGTTTGCCTGGCACCTCGATACCCCTGTGGTGAGGTCAGCAGGGGGCAGTCTGTGCTTTCTCATGCTGGGCTCACTGGCAGTAGGCAGCTGCAGCCTCTATTTCTTCTTTGGGGTGCCCTCACTGCTCACCTGCTTGCTGCGTCTGGCGCCCTTCTTCTTTGGGTTCACTGTCTTCCTCTCTTGCCTGACTAGCCGCTCTTTCCAGCTGGTGTTCATCTTTAAGTTCTCCACCAAGGTCCCCGGGCTCTACCATGCTTGGGTCCAAAACCACGGGGCTGGCTTCTTTGTGGGGCTCAGTTCAGCAGCTCAGCTGCTCATCTGTCTAACATGGCTTGTGGTGTGGACGCCCCTGCCTGCCAGGGAATACCAGCGTTTCCCGCAGCTGGTGTTGCTGGAGTGTACCAAAGCCAACTCTCTCGGCTTCATACTGGCTTTTGCCTACAGTGGCCTCCTCTCCATCTGCGCCTTTGCCTGGAGCTACCTGGGCAAGGACCTCCCAGAGAACTACAATGAAGCCAAGTGTGTCACCTTCAGCCTGCTCCTCAACTTTGTATCATGGATCACCTACTTCACCTTGGCCAGCATCTACCAGGGCAAATATCTGCCTGCCGTCAATGTGCTGGCCATACTGAGCAGCCTGTGCAGCGGCTTCAGCGGCTATTTCCTCCCCAAGTGCTATGTGATCCTTTGCCGCCCAGACCTCAACAACACAGAGCACTTCCAGGCCTCTATCCAGGACTATACGAGGCGCTGGGGCTCCACCTGACCACTGGAAACCTACCCTGCTTGGAAGACCTGGGGTTTCTGGGAGGTCTTTTAGCCCAGGGGAATACCTCATCCCAGGCGCCAAGCTGGCAGAGAGAGAGAGGTTTGACCCTGTGCTTGTGTAAATTGCTGCAGTTTGATGGTTTGCTTTGGACTGGACTTTGGATTCAGGCATTCAAAGTTCCAACCGGGATTCTTCAGATTAAGGAACATGCTTGCTAACGGCGTTTACAAAAATAATGATCTGCATCCTAGTGAAGTGAGTAGCATCTAGGGTCTTCAAAACTTACAAAAACACCATTCTCTACTTGCCAGGAGCTAAACAGTAAGACGGGAACTAGAAGCTTATGGAAAAAAACAAGTCTACATAAGCCACAATCTCATTTACTCTGAGGCCACAAGAAGCGGACAGGGTTCAGCCACAGCTACTGATTATTATGACTGAGGTTACAATCGCTGGTCCTAGATAGATTGGGAGAAAAATATAGAGAATGCGGATTCTTCATTTTAAAAAGCCAGATAAGCTAGAACAGTAGGGAAAAGAGGATTCCCTGAGATGATTTTGGTGAAGCAAAACCAGAAAGCATCCACATTTGTAAAATCATTGCAGTGTAAAAACCTATGAGTCAGTGACCTGCTAGAAACTTAATTTCCCCCTAGACACAAGGGCAGCATGCACGTTGCAAAGCAAGCAAATCTCTTGACAGGTAGAGTTGGTAACGACAATGGTGCACTCAAAGTGGTGGCCCACCATGCTGGTTTGAATGTGTGTTGCTTCCACAGTCCTGCCAATAACCAAAACTCCCACATCAGGCTCCGGAAAGGGCTCCTAATGCCACCTTCTGAGTCTCCCATCCCAGGTCTTTAATCTGCAATTTCCCCCATTCTAATCATCATTCTACATCACTCAGGTCCAATCTGGCTTTGCTTCATTGGCCATAACTGAACTGGGTCAAACAGGTGGAAAGCCCTGAGGTAATTCATTAGTGAAATCGAGTGGCACACCAAATGAAGACTATTGTGCATAAGGGGGGTGTTCTACTTTAAAACCATCCATATGAGACCAAAAGATAGTTCCTTAAAAGCAAAGATGAGAAGATAAAGGGGCAGGGAAAGGGAAGGGCCAGTACAAAGAGAGAATGCTGATACATTGGAATAAATGTAATTAATGTCTCAAACAATTTGTTTTGAAATTGTCAGTGGGAACCTAGTGTGCTATGTAAACCTTCACCAAAAAGTTAATAACATTTTATTTAAAAAATTCTTGGCTCCTCAGATGACTGGTTTGGGATGGGCAATTGAGAAATGGGCTATTTAAAATGGAGGTAGATAAAGGCATGATGTAGCTGGCTTACATGCTCTGTGAGTGCACCAGAGTGCTCATGCTCAAAACAGGATAGATTTCACTTTTCTCGATGGGTCAGGGGAAGAAAGAATTGGGAAAGATGCTGATAGGACTACGTGTTGGGCTGGGTTGTCTAGAGAAATCATGTGACACTCATATGTATAAGAAAGAGCTTTATATCAAGAAGTAATTATATAGCACGAAGGTATTCCACCCAGTCTAAGTCAAGTCCATAAATCCAATGCTAGTCCCTAAGTACCTCTTCAGACTCACGCAGACCACATGCCGGTGACACGGAAAGGTGAAACTGGAAGCCAAAAGATCTCAGGCCTATAGGTGCAGCGTTGTGTTAAGTGCGAGGTTAGTGAGAACAAGGCAGTGTGCTGGCAGCTCTCAGATTCAGGTGACTCACACGGGACTGCCCCTGGAGGCAGACACTGCCCTAGTGATATCCCAATCAGGAGAAAGGTGAAATAAGTGGCAGAGAGAAACAGTTCCCAAGTCCCTCACTCTCATACAAAAAGCCATACCCCAAGGAGGTGTCATTTATCTACCAATTGATTGACAGGTTTGGCTCCACCCCGAGCCATAAGTGTCTAATTGATATAAAATCAATTACTACAGAGGATGACTCAGCTGTGAGTATTGAGTCAGGCTGTGGGGATGGAGGGGGAAACTTGTGCAGTGAATTACTTTACAGGACCTTTTTAGCCCTGCATGGAGCTGTAACTCCCACAGAGTGATTGGGTGGGGCCATGCATGCAAATATGGTGCATGTGCCCATCAAGGGGATTTGACAGTCAGCTAATTATGCAAATGATATGACCTAGCCTGGGGTGGGGCTATTCAAATAAGTTGTATGGAAGCCTAAGAGGTTACCTGACAGTTTTACCACACTGCTAGGCTTTAAAGAAAGCCAATCCCAGAGCAGAATGGGGACTTTCCTACCACCCAAAAGAAGAGCCAGGACCCAAGTGTGTCCTCTGGATCTGAAGTTATCTGAGACGGGTAACACTAGAGAAGCAGTTGTGGAGAAACGGTGACAGCAGAACAGAGAAACCAACACTGGATGGCACAGAGGGCAAGACAGCTACAGCCACAGCGGGAGTACTGACCCAGTGAGCAAGAGAGCTGAGCATCTTTGGGCTGGAGGCTTCCTGGTGCGTGGGCTGCCTCTGGGCACTTAGGAGGAGCCCTGCAGAGCATTGCAACCTAAGACAGAGGCCAGCCCAAGAGGCCCCGTGCTGAGGGAGAGGCCTGCCTTTGGAAACCGCCGAGGGGCTTGCCTGGCAAAAGAATGATGCTGAATTGTAACCGCTTACTGCCCTTAATAAACCCACGGCTGTGAATATGGTCTGTGAGTTCCTTGCGGCCAGTTGCAATAAAGTCGAATGGTCAAAAGGTTGGCGAGAGGAAGCGCCTCTGACCGCCCCTCAGAGGAATTAGCCTTGAGCTGATGTTGATGGTGATTCTCTCCTCCCTCTGTGAAGTTGCGAGGACCCTGAGGACATTTTCACGCAATAAAAAGGTGGAATTTATGTTGGGGTCTTGGCTGTGCTTCCTATATGGGGAGAGGGAAACGTCCGTCTATTTTCCAAGTCTGGAGCTGTCGGGCAGGGCGGCCCTAAGATGTGCATCACTGGACTCAGCCGGAGACCATCTGAGATGGACCGGCTAGCTTCATGTTGCTAGGCAACTCAGAAGGCGGGGCTCAGAGTCGAAAGGACTTTGTGGCCACACCCCTTTCTGTATTCCATTGGTCGTTCTCGCCCCGGGGGCGGGACTTAGAAATCCCTACGCCTTCAAGGCGCCACGCCCCGGGCGGCGCGCTCTGATGTCACGTCCGGCGGTGGCGACAGCGGCTGTCCACACGGGCGGTGGGGCCTGTACGTCCCGGGCACTTGGTCCTGGGGGGGCGGGCTGTGGTGACAACAGAGACTGAGGCAGTGGGGCCGGCACCGGGAGGACGGTACAGGTGAACAGGTGAGGAGGGCGAGAGCGGGGAGGAACGGGCCGCCGCGTCCGCTAACAGGCTTACGTCCGCGGCGTCTTCCGCCCGGCTGCTCTGGACTTGTGGGCGCGGCGTGGGCGCTGCTCACCTGGCCGCACTGCCGCCCCCCGCTGGCCGGCGTTCCTGCGCGGCTCCCTCCGCCTTTATGCCCCTTCTTTGATTGCACGGAGCAGTAGCCCTTCACACCTATGTCTCTCCTGTTCCGCCCCCAGCCCTCCTCCTGCGCCCCGACCCCAGGAAGCTCCCAGCCAGCCTCCCCTTGGCAGCGTGCACCCTCCCACCTTGCCCCCATCCCTCGCACCGTTGAATGTGTGAGTGGAGCCCTTGTACCTGTCTCGCACCCAGGGGCAGTCTTCCTTCGTCCTTCCTCCGCTGCAGACCATGGAGGGCTCCTTCGTGCAGCACAGCGTGAGGGTCCTGCAGGAGCTCAACAAGCAGCGAGAGAAGGGCCAGTACTGCGACGCCACGCTGGATGTGGGGGGCGTGGTGTTCAAAGCGCACTGGAGCGTGCTGGCCTGCTGCAGCCACTTCTTCCAGAGCCTGTCCGGGGAAGGGCCGGGGGGCAGTGTGGTTCTCCCCTCCGGCTTCGCGGAGATCTTTGGCCTCCTGTTGGACTTTTTCTACACTGGTCACCTTGCCCTCACCTCCGGGAACTGCGCTCAGGTGCTCCTGGCGGCCAGGGAGCTGCGAGTGCCGGAGGCCGTGGAACTGTGCCAGAGCTTCAAGCCCCCAGACTCGGTGGGACAGGAGCCATGTGACTTTAGTGGACTTGGGGGACCTGCCTCTCAGGATGGGAGCCGCTGCCTCAAGGAGCCAGCAGGCTTGGAGGAAGAGGAAGTAGCAAGGACTCTGGGTCAGGAGCCCAGTCACAGCCCTCAGAGGCCCCCGCTGAGCCCCCCTGTTCAGAGTGAGAGCCCCTCCTTCTTCCCAGGGAAAGTCAAACAGGCCCTGAAGCTTGGGCTCCCAGAAGACAAGGAGCCTGAGGACTGCAAAGTACCTCCAAGGCCCTTTGAGGCTGAAGGTGCCCAGCTGCAGGGCGGGGGTCATGAGGTACAGTGCAGGCCAGGGAGGGTGGAAAGACAGACTCATTTCTGGCACAGACTTGGGCCCTGAGGCTACCTTTTTTTTTTTTTAGCCTGGGTTGGGACCTAAGGTTTTTCCCACAGCTGGGTCATTGTCTCTCCCTGTGGCCCCAGGTGAGCGCTGTCCATGGTGGCTAGAGTCCTGAGGTGCAGGGAGCTGCCTGGGGGCCCAGGGGTTTCCCCAGACTTCCAGTTTCCACGCAAAGCCACTGCCTTCCCTGGGACCCTCAGATGAAGGGACTCCTCTGGGCTGGAGTTGGATGGAGGCCTAGTAGAACCCTCCTGCTGGTTTCTGGGGTGACCCTGCTCCCTCTCTGCTCTAGTGGGAAGTGGTGGTCCAAGTTGAGGATGATGGAGAAGGCAATTATGGGTCTGAGCCTGAGAATGTACTTGCCAAGAGGAAGCCCAATGTCATCACCAAAACCTGTGCAGGCGAGCCGGCCCTGGGCACAGGCTCCCCAGCGTCGGAGGCCACTGAGAACCGGAGAGGCACAGTGGGGCCAGCGGAATGCCCCACTTGTCACAAGAGATTCCTCAGCAAATACTACCTAAAAGTCCACAACAGGTACATGCTCTGCTTTTGTTCTTTCCTGATTCCTTTTCCATGTCATTTGGGCCATGGGGTCGGGGCTACACATCCCACTGATAAACTGTGTAGGGCCTGGGCCTCCTCAGACCCACAAAACACTAGCAGTGATTTGCATCTCCTTAGGGACTGAGGACCCAGCTTGGTTAGAATCCTGCTGCCTCAACCACCCACAGCCCTGTGGTTGGGGATGGAAGTGTAGGCACTGTGGACCTTGATCCCCAGCCGGCCCGGCCTGCAGTATTGATAAGGCTCGGCAGTTGGGCTTTGGGGTCAGGGAGCTGATCGTTAGAGCAGGTGCTGTCCACGTTTCTGGGGAATGGATGTTGGTTTGCACCAGAGCTTTGTGCTGGGGAGCATCCAGAAGGGTCCACGGCCACCCAAGCACACAGACTGCCCCAAGGCATTCCAGGACCCCCCCTTCCCCCATGGCAGCTTCCTGGGCAGGGTGCACAGGTATGCAAGCGGGCTCTGTGGTGTGCAAAAGACCACATGTCTAGAGCTGCAGCGCTCAACAAGGTCACTCGTACCTGCATGTGGTTATTCTAATTTGAAATTAATGGATTAAAGTTAAATACAGTTTCTGTTCCCCAGACTCCTTAGTCTCATTTCAGAGGCTCGGCAGCCACCTGTGGCTCTTGGCTCCAGGAACTGGCCAGTGCGGGGTTATCTGGGAGTGCCCACTCGAGTCTGCCGGCCCCAGGGAGGGCAGTTAGATGACATACCTTCTGGGGCCCATACCACCACCTCTGGTCCCCTGCTGTGTGACTTCTTGACCAAACCAACTTGGGCATACACATTTTCTCGGTCTACCTCTGGGAAGCCATCACAGTTGGCTGGCATTGGAGATGGAGTGGGACCTGTGTGCAAGGGGACCCTGGAAACACCCAGTGTGAGAGGATGTCTGGGGTGACAATGAACCCTCCCTGTGCTCCCCCAGCATGAGGCTCTGGTGTCAACCAGCACTCCCCCAGAAACATGGACAGTGGTCAGCTCCATGCCCCAGAGCCTCAACTGTCGAGCTTAGAGATACTGAAGGCCAGGCCTTGGAGAAGGCCCACACCCCCCACACACCCACCACACCCTGGCCATGCACTCCTCCCCTCCTCTCACCCCTGGTAGGAGCCAGCAGGGGATCAAGGTCCACAGTGGGGGCATGGGTGAGTGAAGCATCTTGCCTCTGGCAGGTTGCTACTGCTCCTGGGAGACCCCTGAGGTCAGGCTTCATTTCTTTCTTTCATTAGATAGACCAGCTGCCAGGGCCCTTGGGCCACATTAGTGGACACAGAGACCCCCCCACCCCTGTGGTGCCTCCCTTGTAGCAGGGAGACACAGGTGGCAAGCACAGCAAAGAGGAAGGTGCAGGGGACGGGAGAAGGGGAGCAGCATTGCAGAAGCAGCAGCAGCTAGAGCATTCGGGGTGGGTCTGGGGCTCTTTGAAATAGAGACGGCTTGGGCAGGCTAGGTGAGGAAGAGAGCTGAGTGGGTAGCTGTGGAAAGGCCTCCCTGGCAGTAGGGGTGAGTGAGCCTTGTGGGAGAGCAGTAGAGCAAGGGTGCCAGCCCCTGGGGGTCGGGTCCAGGCGGTGAGAGTCAGGCCAGCTGGTGTAGGGCAGTGCACCCAGGGGCCCTGTGAGACCCTTCAGGACAGAAGGGGAAGATTTGGGACAGAGCAAGTGATATGGGCTGACTTAAAGGTACCCCCCACCACCACCACCACTGAAGCACAGGTGGACAGTGGAGGGAAGGAGTGGTGGTCGGTTCCCAGGCAGGGTTTGAAGGTGGCACCGTGATCGTGGCAAGCAGCGTGAATGGTTTCTCTAGCTCAGGAGTCCTCAAACTACGCCCATACACGGCCCGCCGAGGACATTTATCCTGCCTGCCGAGTGTTTTTGCCCCTTTTGTTTTTTTACTTCAAAATAATATGTGCAGTGTACATAGGAATTTGTTCATAGTTTTTTTTTTTTTAAAAACCTATAATCTGGCCCTCCAACGGTCTGAGAGACAGTGAACTGACCCCCTGATTAAAAAGTTTGAGGACCCCTGCTCTAGCTCATCAGGACCCAAGGGTTGATTCGCTTCCAGAAAGCATGCTGGGCCGTGCCCTGAGTGAGGGGGGCCTTGGTGAAGCCGGAAGGGGCTGGAGGCTTGCTTTCCGCTGTGGCTGCAGGCTCTGCCAGGTCCCCCCAAAGGGACATTCTGGGCTTGCCCCACAGGTCCTCCAGCCCAGTCGAAGGGTCCTCCCTGCTCTGGGCTCTCTGGGGTCTACCGCGCCCCAGGGTGAGCCTGGGCTGACCTTAAGGCAGCCCTTCTTCCCATCAGCAGCCACTAGCCTGTGGGTAAGCCTTGGGCACTGATGGAGATGGGGGGTCCCAGCCCCAACCCCCTGTGCCTTGTCCTCGCAGGAAGCACACTGGAGAGAAGCCCTTTGAGTGTCCTAAATGTGGGAAGTGTTACTTCCGGAAGGAGAACCTCCTGGAGCACGAAGCCCGGAACTGCATGAACCGCTCTGAGCAGGTATCTGGAGGCTGGCCCAGATCCTGTGGGCTGGTGCGCTGGCCTGGGGATGTAGGGGCCCAGACTCACGAGAGCCACACTGGCAGGTCCTGCGCCTGGCTTTATCACAAGTCCAGGAGGGTTTGTGGGTGCCTGCCCAGGTCCCCACTCTGCCTTGGGCTCTGGAGGTAGGGTGCTGTAAATGGGGGAGTGGCTGCTGGAAAGGCTTCCTGGGTGCCACACCCCACCCCACAGGCCACAGGTGAAAGGACCCCTCAAACCTGCCTCTGTCTCCAGAGGCCTGCCTGGCCATGACACCAGCCTGGTGCAGTGGGTAGGCTTGCAGTGCTTGGCGGTGGTCATGGCTGGCAGGTTACTTGTTGTCTTCTCCCACCCGAGTGGCCCCCCAGCCCCCCAGGCAGACTTCTCCTAGCAGCCAGTAGAAGCCCTGGCAAAAGCTGCCACCGAGGGCAAACGCCTGCCCCCCTTATCCCGGCCCGCTTGCCCCTCACACTGCCAGGTCTTCACGTGCTCCGTGTGCAGGGAGAGCTTCCGCCGGAGAATGGAGCTGCGGGTGCACATGGTGTCCCACACTGGAGAGATGCCTTACAAGGTCAGGCACAGGCGGCCCCTGGGCGGTGGGTGGGAGGTAGGCCTCTACTGCAGCCTTGCTGCTGGAGGACAGCTTGGTGCCGCCACGAACACAGCCCATGCTCCACACCAGAACCCCAGTTTCCTGTCCTGTGGTGCCTTCCCAGGCTTCTGTCGTTGCCCCGAGGTAACTGGGGACCTGTTTTCCAGTGTTCCTCATGCTCCCAGCAGTTCATGCAGAAGAAGGACCTGCAGAGCCACATGATCAAGCTGCACGGAGCCCCCAAGCCTCATGCCGTGAGTGCTTTGTCCAGGCTGGCTGGCTGGCTGGGTAGCAGGGAGGGCTGAGTGCTCCCTGGAGCTTACCCTGCCCTTTGCCCACAGTGTCCCACCTGTGCCAAGTGCTTCTTGTCAAGGACAGAGTTGCAGCTGCACGAGGCCTTCAAGCACCGTGGCGAGAAGCTCTTCGTGTGCGAGGAGTGCGGGCACCGGGCCTCAAGCCGCAACGGCCTGCAGATGCACATCAAGGCCAAGCACAGGTGTGGGCTCCTGGCAGCCAGTCTGCCCTCCTCCCAGGGTGGAGTGGTGGGGACCTCTGAGGTGGGCAGGAATCTGTTAGGTAGAGTTGGAGGGGTTTCTGTGTCTCCTGGGGCAAATTCTTGGTCTTGGCCTGCCCAAGGTGACCCCTTCCACTCAATAATGGAAGTGAGGCCACCTTGGCCAGCTCCTGGTGGTGTGATCCCTCCTCGGCCCTGGTCCAAGGACACAGGCGCTGGTGTCAGCCTTGCCCTGCGTCCTTGACATTCTGCCCCGGTGCAGTGGAGGTGAACTGGGTAGCTCCCCTCTGTGACCCCTCTGCCCTGTGTCCCTGCCTGGACAGGAACGAGAGGCCGTATGTCTGTGAGTTCTGCAGCCATGCCTTCACCCAGAAGGCCAACCTCAACATGCACCTGCGCACACACACGGGCGAGAAGCCCTTCCAGTGCCACCTCTGTGGCAAGACCTTCCGAACCCAAGGTGAGGCAGGCCCAGCCCTGCCCGCGCCGCGCCCCCCACTCCTAGACCCCAGCCTGCGGCTGAGCTCTCCTCTGTCCTTGTAGCCAGCCTGGACAAGCACAACCGCACCCATACTGGCGAGAGGCCCTTCAGCTGCGAGTTCTGTGACCAGCGCTTCACTGAGAAGGGTCCCCTCCTGCGCCACATTGCCAGTCGCCACCAGGAGGGCCGGCCCCATTTCTGCCAGATCTGTGGGAAAACCTTCAAAGGTGCTGGGCTGGCAAGTCACCTGGGGAAGGTCGGGCTGCTGTGAGGGAGGAGGGAGGGCTTGCTCGGAGACCTGGCATGACTTGGGTGGTGATTTACCAGTTTTGATTGTGAATTAGATGAGGGGGGGGGTGTCTATATTTCATGCCATCATACTGTACTCCACAGTAGTTCCAAACGCTCCTCTGCTGTAGGACCTTAGACCCCTGCCGGAGCCAGGTAGACATGGGCACGCCTCCCAGGGTACTGTGCAGTCAGTGTGGACTCCTGGCAGGGTCCCGAGGCAAGCCCTGACCTCAGGACTGGCCGGGAGAAGCTGCTTGGATGGCTCAGCCCCCTTGCTGTCTCCCAGCTCTGGGCCCCGATCCTGGCCCGCATTTCTACATCTCTTGGAGGCTCTTCATGCCCTTGTCCCTCTGCAGCTGTGGAGCAGCTGCGCGTGCACGTCCGGAGGCACAAAGGAGTGAGGAAGTTTGAGTGCACAGAATGTGGATACAAGTTCACCCGGCAGGTAGGGCAGAGAGAGTGCCTCGCCCTCCCCCAGCCCTGAGGCAGAACCCCTTCCACCTCAGGCCCCGGTTCCCCTAACCCTGAGCTGTCTCCTCCCTTCTCCAAGCCCTGAGGTTCCCCTCTAGCTCAGCCCCCTCCCCGCTCCCCCCCAGGCTCACCTTCGCAGACACATGGAGATCCATGACCGTGTGGAGAACTACAATCCACGGCAGCGCAAGCTCCGGAACCTGATCATCGAGGACGAGAAGATGGTGGTGGGGGCGCTCCAGCCCCCTGGCGAGCTGGAGGTGGGCTCAGCCGAGGTGATCGTGGAGTCCCTGGCCCAGGGTGGCCTAGCCTCCCAGCTGCCAGGCCAGAGACTGTGTGCCGACGAGAACTTTCCTGGCCCAGGCGTCATGGAGCCCTCCCTCATCCTCACAGCTGCCATCCCTGAGGACTGTGAGACGTAGCCACTGCAGGGGCCCAGCCCTAATAAACCACCTGACTGCACAGAGTTCCAGGCGAGGCTGCAGTCCGTTCACCAACTAGGATGCAGTGCTGCCACCCACACACACACCCTCCCCAAGGAGAACCCCCTCCCCGGCGACCTTGGCAGCCTTCGGCTCTCCCCACGTTGACAGCTCTGGGACTATGGGTCTGGCCGTTGGCCTGCTGACACGTTTTCTTCCTCACTCTCTGGGACCATAGCCAGCTCTGCCAGGAGTGTGTGATGTCATAGCTGGGGGGAATTACAGCCCGCGGGGCTAGGAATCCCCACTAGGCTTTGAGGAGTCAAGACTCGGGCCCAGTTAGTGTCACCAGATGCGCAGGGATCTGAGGACTGGGTTTGGACCTAGCAAACTTGACCCTGGTGCTGGCCCACGAGAAGTGGCCCTTCCCTTGGGGAGGTCCTACCTTGGCTGCCTGCACAGGTGGCCTGGGGCTGGGGAAGGCCAGACCTGGGGAGGCCTTGGGGGCTCTGGTGGCAGCCCTGGCCTCCAGCCGCAGGATGCTGAGATGGGGTGCCATGTGCACTGAGGGACACCACCTGGGCCCTTGCTGTGCTGCCTGCTTCCACCTCGTGGGACACAGCCTCACAGTCCGTGTGGATGAGAAAACCAGTGTGTTAGATCTACTGCTGGCTAATAGCTCACCCCAAACCTAACAGGATCTGCTGGCCACGTGGCCCAGACACCTACCTGGGAGGTGGGTGCAGGGCCTGGGCTTCACAGCCTGCGGGCCAGGGCCAGGATGCGATCTAGCCTTCGGTGTCACGAAGGGTCACTTCTCAGATTTAAGGAGGAGGGGACCCACTGGATACTTGTGCAAACTGCTCCTACACGCAGTAAATGCTGAAGGGCAGCGCCTGGCGTGGGTTAGTGGGATCGGCAGCCATGGTGGCTGTGACCTCAGCAGCTGCAGTCTGGTCCCTGCCCATCACTAGTGGCTTCTTGAAAAACTCCACGTGCACCCTCCATTCCTCCTGGGGGGTGAGACTGGGAATCCTGTCTTGACCATCCTTTGCTTGACCACTAGAAGCTCGGGGCTCAAGACAGCACTTAATTACAGTAACTGATGACCCAGATTTTGCATTTCCTATAAAAACTGCTTCAACTGTATTTTGAGAAGTCTCTGAAAACACAAACTATAGCCCTAAGACTCTCCCCTTCCCAGGCTGGGAGCAGGGCTTGTTTGGGATGGTCCTTCCAATGTTAAGGGATCCCACCTCTGGGGTCTGGGTCCATCCCACCGAGGGCTCATGGCAGTCTGTAGACAGCCTCAGGAGGGACGGGCTGGAGGCTGAAGCCAGCGAGATCCTGGCTGCCAAGCCGGTGGCAGCTCATGGCACCCGCGGCACGAGTCACCAGGATGAAGCCACAGGTCTCGGTCTCCCGGGGTCGGCCCCTGCTTCCTCCATGACATACCTTTTAATGATCTCACAGAAGACCTGAATCTTTGGACACTAAGTCCCCACACGACGGCCTGATCCTAAGCTCTGGCCCTGCCCAGTAACGTGGGCGCTCCCCCTACTCCTGCCCATCCAGGTGCGGCCCCACCTCTGGAACCCCAGCGTGAGGATAAAGACAATAACATCAAATACATAGTAAATCATTTTATTTCAAAAGTCTGAAAGCATCCTACAACCATACACAGGTTTCTGGACATGTAAGCCTACAGAACAAAATATAAATACACCAAGTCTGCCCTGTCCTCGGATGGAATTCTATGTGGGCACTGGTGGGCAGGTGCCCTTCACGGCCTAATAATCGCAAACCATATAAGTATATAGAACACTTTAGACTGCCTTTAAATACCAGTCACTGACCTCCATAATCTAACTTGTAGAAGGTGAAGTTCTGTACACAAGGAGATGGCCACGTACCCAGCCAGCCTGGTATCTGCTCAGACATCCTGTAAGGGGTGGGAGCTTTGTAGCCTGCAACCCAGGATGAGGGCAGGGGTGGGGTGTCAGGCAGTTGGGGGTATGGGAACAGGCTACTGAAGGACGGGCCTGGTGATAAGGGCATGGGCAGTTCTAGCAGACAGCTCCGCCTGGCCTCCCCAATGTGCAACATGGTGGTCGGTCAGCAGAAATACAGGCCCACAGGTCGCTCTGCAGCCCAGCCCTGACCAGGAAGCTTCCCGAAGCCCTCCAGATGCCACCTCACTCTTGGGGGAATCACGGGCCTCGGCTCAGATTTTGGAGTTTGAATGTACGTTTGAAGGCAGGTTTTTTCCAGGGCAGATGGAATTAAGAAGCGTTTCTGTCCAAGAAAGCCCTCGTGGCACAGTGGATTGAACGTGAGCTACTACCTGAGGAGTTGGCAGCGTGAACCCACGTCTAGTGCTCCCGTAAAGACTGGCGTCTTTGCAAACTGCAGGGAGCAGTCCTCCTCCTCCGTCTTCTCGGGTCACTAAGCTGGAATTGACTTGATGGCAGGTTTGAGCTTTGCCCCAACACAAAAGCCCTTCTTCTTTATGCCGCTCCCTGAAGCGGCCTGGCCCAGCTCTGTACGCCTGCAGTTCCCGCCGCCCTGCTGGGCCCTTGCCTTCCCGAGCAACTGAGGGAGCCTCTGGCATACAAGCAGGCCTCAAGGGACATGGGGGCAGGGCCCTTCCAAGTATTGGAGACCAGTATCCCAGCTCCCTTGGGGAAGCCCCCAGCCATATTTCCCAGAAATGAACTTGGCCTAGCAACTATCAACACCTACCCCTAAATCGCCCAGAGGGACAGGGAGGGGGCTTCCTCTGTTGCAAGAACTGTTCTGGGTGTGTATTCAGGCCTAATTAATCCAGGTGGCAGAGCCAGGAAGCAGCCTAATCCCAGCCCCACTGTCCTGTATTTCCGTAAGGAGATCGGCAGCCAGCCCCTCAGTGTGCGGACAACCGCTGGGCAGGCATAGGAGCCGGGAAACATCCATGTTGTCTCCTCCCCTCGGCTCAGCAGCCCCTTGGGCCAAGCCTCCAGCCTACCCAGGGACTAGACTCAAACAAGGAGAGACAAGGGGTTGAGGGACCCCAACATTCAAACCCAGACGGACCTGGGTAACAAAAACCAGGTCCAGAGGGGTCTGACCCTGAGGACACCTTCACCAGAGGCCCAGCCATGCCAGAGTGAACGACCTGTGGGGAGAATTGGTGTCAGGTTGTAGCTGTTCCAGCCACAGGGAGCGGGCTTCCATGGCTCCCTGGCTGACCTCCCACTCCGGGCACGTGAGCCACAGGTTCCTCATGAATGTCCTACAGAAGGCAGGCAGGTGGCCCTGCTGTGATCCCCACCAGAAGCTCAAAGAGGGACTCGGGCAACAAAACTTATCCCGGGACCACACGTCACCCCCAGCCAGGTGAGAACACAGCCCCAGGAGTCAGGCCATTTAGAAAAGGCAACTTACTAAACACTTTCTTTCCACTAAGGTGGAGCCGCCTGCAAAGCAGCGAGGAAGCTTACCTCAGGGACCCTGAGGGTACCCCATCACCCCACAAGGAGCCCAGCATTTCAGTGTGGCTTCTCTGCCCTCAGCTTCCAGGCCTAGTCCGGAGTGTCTGAGGGAAGGCCGATCACCCCAGCCCCACAGAGAGCTTCGGCGATGGCACGCGTGACAGAACTGTAGAGCAACCCAACCCATCCCTGTGCCCTGTTCCTGCCCCACCCCGCTTTCTCAGGGTGGCGGCCCTGCAGGCACTGTAACCCCCGGGCCAGTCAGTCACCGAGGGCTCCCCACCAGGCTGCCAGGGCTTGTTGCTGGGCTGGGCTCCCACAAAGCGCGCCGGTTGGGACTTTGGATTCACCTCCCTTATTGTTCGGCTAGGGGTGGCCAGGAAGGCCAGCCTCCGCCAGACCATATGCTCTGGACACAGAAAGACCCTATCATCCTGTGTCCTCCTCTGGAGGCCCGACTCCTGGGAGACGGACTTGGTGGGAGAGCCTAGCAGGGTGAAGAACTAGACAGCCAGACCCCTCCACTGGGCTGGGGGAGGGGAGGAAGGGGAGCTGGCCCAGTGGGAGGGCTGGTACTGGGCAGTCGGCTGACAGTCAGTGGTGCTCCAGACCCAGAAGAAACGATGCAGGAAGACAGGCCTGGGTCCTCACAGGAGGACTCCTTACCTGTCCCTCCACAGGTGGCCTCACCTCCTGAGGTAGGAGCAGGTAGGCCCCAGTGGCCATGGTGAGAGGGTGTGCGCTGCATTGGTGAGCTGCTGACCCACGGGTGGGGTCAGAGACGTGCTTCTGTGACGGTGACGGCTCCGGCAGCAATGACTCCAGGCTCCAAATGCATACAACATTCCAGGTGGGGGGGGTCCAAGAGCCCACACTCCACCTGGGGAGCCCAACCTGTCCTCACGCACCCAGGAAGGTCACTGTGTGCCCCTCCCCCCATCCCCATTGAGGGGCTGGGTCACCTGTCCCAAGCCCTCCCTGGGCCAGGCCAGGGCTAGTGTAGCCCGTCCAGGTTCGGTGGTGGCTGCAGCCGACCCAAGTTCACCTCCTGACCGCCAGTGTCCAGTTCAAAGCCGCGCCCGCCTGAGGGCACCTGGGGCATGAACTGGCGGAAGATGCTGACGCTGCCATGCCAGAAGGTGGGCTCTGGGAGCCGCCCCACCACACTCCATGCCCGAGTCTCTGGGTCGTATGCCTCCACCACGTCCGAGAGTTCAAATGTGTTGTCGTAGCCACCAGAGACGTAGAGCTTCCCGCCCAAGACGGCCAGACTACCCCCGACATGCACCTGTGGGCCAAGAGGGGCAGGTCAGGGGAGGCCCGCATGAGGGCAGGGCAGAACCCCCTTCCAGACCAGGTCATGGGAAGCGGTTAGTCCTGCAGCGGGGCAGCTGTGGGACTTCCTGGAAACTGGACAGGGAGCCATCCTGTGCAGATTTCCCAGGGGACCTTGCAGCTCCACTTCCCCACCCCCACCTCCATCTATCAAAGGCAGACACACTTGCCCAGCCCGTCATGAAGCCCTCCCGATTCACAGACGGGACACCTATACCTGCTCACAAAAGGGACAGGGGCTCCCCATCGGGGGCTGGCTGGTAACCCTCCCAATAGCAGCAGGGTGTGGACTGTGCGCCACACAAGAGGTCACCATGGGTGACCCCTGCAACAACCGTACAGGTGGGCATCCTGCGCTGCCCACCCGACAGATGGGGAAAGTGAGGCTGGTGGGGCAGACAGCGGGAAGGCTGGGGCCTACTGCATCTGTACCAGATTTGCTACCACGGGAAGGCA